ACTTTCTTCCCCTGCATCGTGGCAATGGTGGGGATGCACTAAACCACCCCCTGTCGTGCGTGGAATGTGGGATCTGCCAACCACTGCCTTACAGCAAAGACACAGCTAGTATTCCTGGTTGTGCTTTTTGTTTGTAGAGTGGTGCCGTATGAAAGCTGGAAGCAAGTTGTGGTTTGCAGGCTCCAGTATAAGGCCCTGTTTGTATGCTGAGGTCGTTCGACTGTAGTGTCACTCAGTGGACTGTCCTAGATCAGCAAAAATTGTTGATCTTCATGGAATCTTGCCAGATTTCCTTTCCCACGATCTTCTCAAACATTGTTCAGGTATCTGGCATGCAATAACACTAGGATCCCCAACACCCACAGAAACTCCCTTGGATCCCTGTCCTACATGATGCTTACTTCTTAAGATTCTCTTAATTTAAAAAATCTGGCATGTTGCACCCATGCCTGCTCTGGACTCTGAGTGGGCCCCAGAAGCATTAGAAAGGATAGAGGCAAGACAAAATAGCAGAGTACTTCCCGGGGGATGGGGGGTAGAGGGTGGGGATAGTGGGGTAGTAGTCAGGATTTAGGAGTTAGCCTTCCAGTAAATCAGTGTTTTGCAATGAGTCTTGCTCACCAGCCCCGCTGCTTTAGGATGAAGCTTCCCTCCTCCACTTGGCAATGCTGTTGGGGGACTGCTCATGATATGCTCTCAGATTCCAAACGGGCCTGCTGGCCCCAAAAAGCAGGGAACTCCCCGAAGTCTCCCCTGTATTCAAATGGGCAATGGGAATGACCTACGCCAAAGCACCCTGCGTTCCTGAAGAAATGGGGTCTTATTGTTTGTGGGTTGGAAAATCCTGGAAGGAAATTCCCAAGCTGCAGCTTCAAAGGCTTTCATGAAAATCCATGCACCTCTTCCTGGTATCCAGAAAAGCTTCACTCTTTCTGTTCTTGGAATTAGTTTTGATGTGGTCTTATGAGAGGTTTTTAAATTGCTCTGAGAGCCTCGTGGGGTTGATTACGGAGCAGGAAGTATGTAGAAAATCAATTTACTTGATTTACATCCTCTGCATTTATTTGTATAGCTCAAGGCTGCAGACATACCTAATGCTCCCACCTCCTATTTTTCTCACAACAATAGCCCTGTGAGGCAGGTTGGGCAGAGAGAGAGGGACTGGCCCAAAGTCACCAAGACAGCTTCCATGCCTTTGGGAGGACTAGAACTTACCATCTCCCAGTTTCTACTCTAGTGCCTTAACCGCTAAACCAAACTGACTCACTTAATTTTTGTGTTACCCAAAGAAATCATAGGCTGGCTTTCTGAACTCTGAGCTTTGTGCTTTGCAGTGCCTCCCCACCATCCTCTGGTCTGCTGCTCCTCTTCGGGCCCCCAGATCTGCGCCAAGAGGTCTGGCCGGGGAAGAGCCCTGCTCGGTAACCAGCGGAAAAGGAGGAAGTCAGTGACGCCGGATCCAAAGGACAAACAGACGTGCGGTGAGGTTCTTGACAGCTGCCTCATGCAGACTCTCAGTGCTCAGCTCCTTTCCACGAGTCTCCCCAAATGACAGAAGTCTCAGTATGGGGGCAGGCTAGGAGTGGCTTCAGCAGACTGTTGCACCTCCCAACACCAAGGGCCGGCCGGCCAGCAGCTTCCCAGCAAAGGAGGTTTGGCCTTTGATATGCTGGTGGTGTTCAGAGGTGGTGCTAGTTTAGATTAAAATGAGGTTGGGTCATCCTTGGCTTAGCAGGTGGTGTGAACCAGCCCTCACATCAAGATGAAATATGGTTATTTTGTGTGTTGTTCATGGTTTATGGCATGGCACGTTGTGGGAATCCACTAATAAGTTGCTGACCTCGGCCAGACTCTTGTCTTCCCCTGACCATGGCGTTTGCATCCCCTTGCCAAGGTGGTCAGTGGAAACCTCTCCCCGACAGATCTCCTGCTTGTGTGATTGGCCTATAACCAAAGACCGGGTTTGCCCAAAATGTAAACCATGTCAGGAGGGAGTAGAAGGCAGAGCTGGTAACCTTGCCTGCAAAATCTGCCGTGCGAGGTCTGCCGTCTCCAGTCTGCCCTTGGTTCCTAATGTTTCCCGTCTCCTGGCTGGGAAGCATTTGCCCCTTCTCTGCCTCCTGAGCTGTGCTGGATGTGGAATTATTATCCAGCAATCATTCCAGCTCTGAGATCTTAGCAAAGGCTTGCCCCAAAGGGCTTTGGCTGCACAGTCCGTTGCCTTTAACGTGCTTGCTGGTGTTTCCCTCCCAGATATCCGCCTTCGAGTCCGAGCAGAATATTGCCAGCACGAGACGGCCCTGGAGGGGAACGTCTTCTCCAACAAGCAGGACCCGCTTGAGCGTCAGTTTGAACGTTTCAGCCAAGCCAACACGATCTTGAAATCCCGAGATCTGGGCTCAATCATCTGTGACATAAAGTTTTCAGAGCTGACGTACCTTGATGCCTTCTGGCGCGACTACATCAATGGCTCGTTGCTGGAGGCCCTGAAAGGGGTCTTTATCACAGACTCGCTCAAACAAGCAGTAGGTCACGAGGCCATCAAACTCCTCGTCAATGTGGACGAAGAGGATTACGAGGTGGGCCGACAGAAACTCCTGAGGAACTTGATGCTCCAGACAGCTCCTTGAAACCTGGTGGTGGATTTTTTTTTCTCCTCCCTCTCCTCAGGCTCTCCTTTGGATGGATTTTTTGCAGAGTTCTTTTCCTTAAAAAAAAAAAAAAAGAGGAAAAAAAACCTCAAAGGAATGAAACCTGTCATGTACTGAATAAGTGTAAGAGCTGTTTCAATGTGAGGATAAGTGCGATGCTTGGTTTTTCTTTTTCCCCCAGTTGGGAACTGAAAACGGGAAGCCGGGAGATTCAAGGAGGTCCGTCCTGTGCTCCTGCCTCTGAAAGAGCCCGTTTCCTTGGGCTGGCTGAGCATCCTTGACCCCTGAAAGGTGCTCGCGAGGTCTGCGGTTCTTTCTTATCGCATCATCTCTTGTGCTGTCCAACTTCTCTGTTGTTTTGGTATTGTCTCCATAAAGTAGATTGCCCATTGCCCCCTCCGAAAAGCCCTACACAGGCGTGGCAAGGCCCTGAAGGCAGGCCCTTAACTTGTCTCTTCGTATTAAAGAAGCTGTTCTTGTGAAAGGGTTTATCTCCTATTCGTGTCTCTCTTTGAAGCTGTGAGGGAAGGGGAAGGAAAGGGAGAACTTGGCTATCTGGGGACTGGAGGCAAGAGAGGTCTTGCTCCTAATCTGTTTTTTTTTCCCAGTTAGCTGCTCCCAGTATGTAGCAGTGGTCTTAAAACAGTGGTTTGGATTCAGAAACGGTTCTGCAGTGGAAGGGCCAGGATTGTGTGTGGATGAAAGGGGCCTCATCTGAAGGAAGTGGCTCAGCCAAGGTGGGGCCGGAGGTGTGGCTCCAAATATGAGGGGTGACGAGGTTTGAGCCATGGCTGCTGCTCTGAACCCCATTTTGGGGGGAAATTTCCTTGTGGGTCAAAAAGGAGACCTCCTTTGGCTAGGGAGGCTCCCCCAAGGCCACCTCTTTGCTCTTCTCTCCCTGCCCGGCGCTTCTGCTGTTGCTCGGGCTGCTCCCTGAGTGCAGCAGCCCTCCTCCTGCAATCCCATGTGTGCCTTTTCCTCACCCTTTGGCAGAGGAAGCATCTGCCTCCAAAGATGAACGAGAAAGGTCTTTCCTCTCTCCTCCTCAGCCCCGCAGCCTCTGTGGACAGCCGGCCGCCTGGGGCTGTTGGCCCAGAGGTGGGGAGAAAGGGTTTGGCCAGCTGGAGAATGACTTCTTCGGTTGGGGAAAAGCTTGAAGGGGGCACCCGCCTGTGGCTGGGGCCAGCTTCTGGATCCTGTTGCTTTAGCTGGCTGGTCCCTTTTTCCTGGGACCTTCCCCTTCCTGACTCGCCCACCAGCATTGCAAAACTGGGTCGCTCTTGGAAGAAGCTTGGAGGAGGACAGGAGTCACATCAGACCTTACTTTCCTTGGTGTTGAGCATGGCGCCAGCTGCCTCCTGTTTTTCGTTTTCTTTTTCTTTTGAAAGAGACCTTTTTGGAGACCCTGGGCCAGCTTTTGTTCTGCGGTTCACAAGACAAGGTGAAAAGGCAGCAAGTTTTGTAATAAGACTCCTAAGGTCTGCAGAGGGTTCAGCTGTGGGGTTACGTTTTGGTAGCACCACAGTTCTTGATGGGGTGTGTCCTTTTTCCCAACCCGTCTCCCTTTTCCCTGTCAGCTGCGGCAGGCACGGGGGTTCCCTCGGCCTCTGTTCGAGAAGATAGAACAGAGCGTGCTTGGGAGGAAGAAATCTGTTCTCGTCAACTGTCACAAGGGATTGTTTACTGGAGTTTTGCGCCGGATTTCTTTTGGTTGGGTGCTTACACATCCTGTATTTTATTTCTGTTTGACTACGTTAAATAATGTGAAGCCCTTGGCAAGCAAACAGCCATACCTCTGGTTTGGGGTGGCTAATCCAGAAAGCATTTGGCCTGTAGATCTTTCCCCAGGAAGACCCCCTCTAGCCCCTTCAGCTGACTTCTTCCAGGTGGCAGAGGGGCTGCTTTTGACCACTTCTGGTTGTGTTTTCTGCTCCGTAGGCAGGAAGGCTCCACCCGACAGTGGAATGAACTGGAAGACGCCAAGCAAGTGCGCCGTTTATACAGCCATAAACTCAGGTGGCCTTGGACCATTTCAGGTGGAGGGAATTGAAAAAAAAGTTGGCTTTCATCCTGCATGGAAGTTAAAGGACATTTAATTCACATGGACACTCAGTCTGTATGAGTTTGTGTTTTGATCTGACTACCTTGCTTCCCTTCACTTTCTAGAAACAGCGTTTTACTTTTAATAAGACAAGACCTGAGGTGGTTAACAGTGCTTCAGATTTGGCTCAGAAGAGACACTGGAATGTGTGAAAGAGCAAATCCAGCACCTTCTTGCAACTCATCCAAGTAGTGCCTCTTTTTCTAGAATTGCACAGCTGCCTTTCCTGATGTGTCTGCTTAAATGGGCTGTAAGCTGGTGCTGTATTTGTTCTTGCACCGGTGCCAAAGATGTCCCACCCTTTTCCACATCCAAAGCACTGTGCAGCTCAAGCAGCAACCTTCCTCCTCAATTTGTCCAACTTTTTCTCTAAATGCCCACTTCCTGTCTGAAGATAGTCCAGGGAAAATGATGGCACTTGACTCCATTGGCTGCATAAACTGGCCCCGAGCCCAGGGAACGTGAGCCAGCGACCCTCCGCTTTGCTGGACGTGTCCCAGCTGGGCTTCTGAGGCTTTCTTCCTGCTCACTGGCTGCCTCGCAAAGTATGCAAAAGCCCAATCGTCACACACACACACAATCCCTGTTATTTCAAGATAATTCTGGCACAAATTTGTGTAAAATCTGTGACTTCTTTATTTTTTTTTAAGGAAATGCCAGTGTAACTGGTCATGTTCCCAATGTACCTTTGTTTCTTTCTCAATAATAATAATAATAAAAAAGTCTTCTGCCTTTTTTTGGTGCAGCTGTTGGGGTCTCTGCTCCCTTGAGTAGTGTGTGCTAACAAAACAAAGCTTTCTCAGAGGCTGTGTAAGGTGGTTTGCGCTCTGGAAATAATTTCTAGAACAAGAAATACGTGTTTCCTTCTCAAAGCACAGGTGGGTTAGGCTGTGTGAAATAACCTTGTGGCACCAGCTTCTGGGGACTCTGTGTAGCTTTGCACCCATCTACAGTTCACTTCCATGACCTCTTAGCTGTGCCTTGCATAACTGTTCTCGAGATATTACACCCCCAGAGAGGTAAACGGAGACCGCCATTTGCGGATGGCACTTTACGCATTTGATCCCGGGAGCTCGAACTGAAAAAGGCTTGTGCTGCAGAGGAAATTGTTTCAATCTTTTGGGTGCCCAAGGGGCCTGCAGGTGAAAGTGGGGAGAAGTTAGTTTAGCTGTAAGTGGTGAACAAGCAGACAGATACTCCCATTTCTGCAAGCTGGAGTGACTAAACAATACTAGGAAAACTTCACTTGCAATTTGGTGACCCCAGCATTTCCCAGCTACTGCATCAACGCTGAAAACCTCTTATCTGAGCCTGCCACATTACAGCCATCAATCTGCTTTGGGACTCTCAAGTTCTAACTGGCAATTATGTGAAGAGCGACAGTTTCATTATCGTCACATAAAAGTGCGTTATTTACGTTCAGGAGATGTTATATTGGCCAAAAATGTTTGCGAAGCATCTTACATTGTGCATAATTCCATCAGGTTCCATATGAGAGATGGATGAGATCCTGTTATTAATTTACCCTCTCCCATTATCTGCCAAGCGCTCATGAACTGCAAAAGCGGAGCTGAGACTGACAACTTCTTGTGGCTGGTCAGCAGCTAGGAAGTCTTTGCCCTGGTGGCTTGTTACTGTTTGAACCAGAACTGGGTTCTAACCAGATTAGAATGTGGCCATTGTCGGTAGCAGCTTGAGTCATGCCAAATAAAGCGTGTGTGTGTGTGCGTGCGCGCATGCACGTGGGTGCACAAGCACACTTAGCTAAAGTCAATTCTATAACGCAGAAAAATCAATTTAAAAAAATTTCAGTCCGCGAGAAAAAAAATGTTTAAATCATATTTCTCCCCTGTTCCAAGTATTTCTTAATGCAATACAAGCTTGACCCCAAATCAATATTGATAGCTAAGTATAGTAGTTTAATTCTGTGTGTTGTAGCGTGGGATGCTCACAATATTTCTTTTCGGTAACTTGATTTTTCCAAGAACTTTTCAGTACAGGATGGAAGACTACCCTGCTTTTTAATCCACAGATAGTGTTCTTAAAACACCCTTTCACATGGTTGTTTGGATAATGCTTCCAACACTTTGAGAAGTTATCTGTGAGAAAACGAAGCCCTCTTGTTTGCTTCCACCTTAATGAAAATGAAATGCTTGTGATGCTCAAGTGGAAGTCAACTTCAGTTTTAGAGCAGAGCAAAGCAGTTCATTTTCTTGAGGCAGAATTGAAATGCCTGTGTTAGGTAGGACAATTCCAAGTGAAAAATAACTGCTTCCAAAATGTCACATAATTTTTATTTAAAAATTGCAGTTTAGAATGGGCTGCCGTACTTCCATTCAGATTTTGTTTTGTTTAAAGTACTGTATAGACCAAAGTTATTCTTTGAAAAGTTATTCTTGCTATTCTGATGCTCTACCTATATAAAATATTGTCAGGTCTCCTCTGGAGATGCAAGGGCAGATGGAATTTGCTTGGCAAAATACCTGTTGATGATAGAAATGTCTCAAATGGGATCCCAAACCTGTCAATCATAGTCAAACCACCCCACCACCCTGGTTTTCAGTTTTGAGTTCCATTATCTTGACAGTGGCTGGGTTCCCTCATCCCATAAGCCATAGTTGTGTTAACCAAAGTCATGATTTGAACCAAGGTTTCTTGAATAAGCTGCCCTGAGTTCATGTAACACACTAAACCATGAATTATGGTTTACAAACCAAAGTGCCTGGATTCCCACATTGTATTAGGCCATGTGGACGATCTTCAGGTTCAATATGCTCCCCTACGTGGGCAGACCAAAGTGCCACATTCATTTTGTATTTCTGGAGGTTTGGGGGGAATTTAAAGATGATGCGTATGTCTGCACCAATCCCGTTAGTCCTGGGAGGCAACAAAAAGGTGTGTTCCTGAGTTTGTCTATGACAACAGCAAACCAAGCAAGCATTGTTGTGGATTATTGTGATAGGTAAGCCAGGCCAGGATTTGGCCTGCACCGTGCAGCACTGAAGTCTATGAAGAAAACCACAATTTTCCTTAGACGCCGATATCTCTGAATTGCACAAACGCAATTGCCTGGAAATGTGTTAATTACTTAACGTATCTCCACTCAGTGAGCCTGGGGTAATTTACATTAAAAGCACACCAAGACAAATGCATGTGAACCTTCAAAGGCTTCCCTCTAGCAGCTGTTTAATGGCTAGTGGTGGGGAAGTCCATTCATTCATTCATTCATTCATTCATTCATTCATTCATTCATTCATTCATTCCATTCACTCACTCGCTCACTCACTCGCTCACTCACTCACTCATGACACACAACATTTGAGGGCCTCTTTTTCAGCTGTCACAACAAAAAATGAACATACAGACAAGCTAAAAAGAAAATCCATTTCTAGCAGAGAGAAGCGTTACGAATGTGATGTCCCCTAGGCTCTTATTTTATCAAAAGGAAATGGGGGTTCTAGAGCTGTTTAGAAAAAGGAGATGAATGACTGGATTAACATGGAAGAAAGAAAAGGTGTGTGGCTGAAATAGTTTATTTCAGGGATGAAACTCTTCTAGAGGAAAAGTGACTTACTGGACCCCATTCCAATATGGCTGAATGCAGTCTGAAACCAACATCTTGTGCTCCACAGAGGGGGGGCTGTGTGGAAATGCTTTCCTCCCCAGCACAGAAGGCGTCTGTATTCTATTTCTATCATTCCCACTCGTGCCAGTGCGAGTGCCCATCTGGACAGAGGCTACTGTGGGGTTAGAGATCCTGAAGGGAGAGTCCAACAGCAGCCGAGCATCCCTCGTGGCGCAGCCAAGCGAATCAAGGGGAGGAGAGGCCCCATTGAGCAGCTGCCTGGCCAAACAAGCGGGGCTGGCGGTGGGAGAAAACGGGCATCTCCTGTCGGAGGCGGTGCAGGTAGGCCAGGTCAATTTCTGCAAAGCACAGGCCGGGCCCCTCCTGGCACTGGGCAACGATGCTGCCCCAGGGATCCACCACCATGCTGTGGCCAAAGGAGGTGCGGCGTTCGTGGTGCTTGCCCGTCTGGGCCGCAGCCACGACGTAGCACTGGGTCTCAACGGCACGAGCTCGCAGCAGTACCTGGGGAGACAAGGAAGCCGTGAAGCTCTTCTGTTTAAAAGGGAAAAAAGGAGATCGGCATCAGAGGGCATGGAAAGGACTCGTTCCAGGTAAGGAAAACAGCAAATAAGCTACTGCTTCTAAACATTCGCAATGTTGCCTTTGCGTATGGAGCACTTGGCGGTTGGTAGCAACTCAGTGAAAGAGATCCTGGTAGGCAGCACTGTTGGGGAGGCTCCGTGCCGGTGAGAGGACATCAGTCCGGGCAAAGGAGATGGCACGGGGGACACCGACCCACCCTCAGTGCAAGGTGGCCCCATTCTATTTGTGCAGCAGAGGAGCACGGCTGGGTCCCAGGCTGCCCCCCAGGGCCTCGAGGGCGCCCCGGAGAACCTCAAAAGTCGCGTCCAAGTAGTACGTCTCGATATAACAGAATTGAAAGGGTGATCAAATAAATGCCTGGAGAACCATTAACGATAATTCAATGTAAATTTAAAAGAAACCAAAGTTAGTCTTTATTAAGGCTCCCACCACTGTGGGGAGCGTGACTCGCAGCCTGTCACTCAAAGGCAGGGGGGCTGGAAGACACCGCACCTCTACCCTAAAGCCACCCTGCTTCTGAACACTTCGGCCTCCTTCACTCAACGCTTAGCACGTGAAGACGCGAAGTGTCGTCCTTGGTTGGCTTTGGTACGAACCCAGCTTGTACGCTTGGCTGCTATGGGAACCAAGGGAGAATGGCGATTTAGCCATTTGGTTAAGTGTATTGTGTGAACGCAGCCATTCAGTTTTGGAGACCCAGGCTAGTCCCCCCTCCGCTGCCAGGTCAGAGGCGTTTCAGATTTACTGCAGTCTCTCTATTCCTGCTCCTAGTCCAACCACAGATTCTGCAAGATTGAGCAAGAATGCATGTTCTAGGCCAGTGTTTCTCAGCCTTGGTGACTTGAAGGTATGTGGACTTCAACTCCCAGAATTCCCCAGCCAGCCATCTTCAAGTCGCCAAGGTTGAGAAACCCTATTCTAGGCATTCCTCCTCTTCGAGCATGTAAATTTAACAAATAAATCAATACATGAAATACTAAAAGTCAGAGGTCCCACGATGACCGTTGGAGGGAGCAGAAGAACCGCTGTTGTAAAGGCCAATCGACTTACCTCCCAGTGGGCAGCGCCAGTTGTCACAGTGAAGGCTGACGGGTAGGTGAGAATCTCCGCCCCGGCCTGGGCCAGAGCAAGGGACATTTCTGGGAAGCGGAGATCGTAACAGATGGCCAGCCCCACCTGGAAAAGGGGCAGAACTGGTGAGAAGCTGCTGATATTCAGAAACGTCTGCCGGTAGGAACTGAGCGTGTGCATGTTAAGAGGTCCGTAACATCGATCCATGCTCTGGGTGGTTACGACAGCTGGCTGTGATGGAAGGCATGAGCGAGGAGGATCCTGGAATGGAGCTTCAAGGTTACAGGGAGGGGGAGAGACATTCCAAGCATCTCCTCCTCAGCCCCCAGCGCGAGCGTGTGAAAGTGAAGGGAAGGAGACTGGCCCCTCCCTAAGGATTCAGGGTTATAGTTGCTGTCATTGGGTGTTAGAGTTAGTCTGGCGAGATTCTGTCTAGTAGGTGTAAAAAGTAACTGAGCTGTTCCTGGACTGTCTCGTTGTGGTTCTCGGGCTGAACCTGACACTGGCTGCATGAGAAATTGGGTGCTGTTCTTTAAAATAATGGCTTACTGCTTTGAGCAATCTCCCTCTTGGAAACGTCTTAATTTTGAAAAGAGATAAACCCAAATCAGACTCCTACGATGGGGCTGCTCTTTGAAAACAGCTCTGGTTCAGTTCAGAATTTGGTTGCTGGGCTGCTATACAGGAGCAGTGGTAATCGCATCCAGGTCCAGTTCAAAAGTCTGGTTCCCACTAAGGCCTACCTGGCCCTGCACTGTTGTCAACGGTGGTGTTCTCCGGCACTACTGTTTAGGATATTGCTGTCGTTTAAAAATCCATTCTATTTCAGATGTTAAAACATTCTATTTTCATATTTTAGAAGCTATTCTGGGAAGTGGTACAAAGCCAGGGCAGGGAGCCAAAATATTGAAAACAATCAAGATTAAGATAGTGGGATAGTCATTTTAAAACCGCAGCCTAATGCCAGCTTATTTCAAGACCTGTTTGGTTTGCTGGCTATCTTGGATCAGCAGATGGGCTCCTTCAAAACCAATCGATTTTGTTGCATGGCTGATGTTTGATTCTCAGCTGAGTGTGTGAATGGATTTCTTGGAGAGGCAGTGAAGTTCAGGCCCAGTTCAGTGTAAGAATAAATAAGAGCAAACAAAGGAGGAGCTACCAATCTAGGGAGATTACTGCGGGGGACGAAAAATTGGCTGGCTGTATCAGATATTATTCCCTATTCCAGAGAGCGGATGGAGTCCTCGGACCTTGGGAAGCGTTCGGTGCATTTCCCAACCCACGTGGGGGCTGTCCTTCAGCTCACTCCAAAGGTGGGTTCACACAAGGCACTAAGCTTTAAAATGTTTTTTCTGGTTCGGGCTTAGCGTATTGTATGACTCCAGCTAATAGAACTTTTATTTAATAAACCACCATTAAGTAAATCATGATTTAGAAGCCCACGTGAATCCAGCTAATGATTGCAAAAGTAACCAAGTTCTCTCTCTCAACATTTGGGGCGGGGGCTGTTGATTCATGGATATTCAACAGAGTTTACAACTTTATAAAATGATTGTATGGGTTATGGATACAAAGTGTTTTGAATACAGCCCATTTGCACAGATGTGTCACACCCTGGAAAGGACTTGCCGGCATGAACCATTCCATCCAGAAATTGGACGCGTGCGCCATTACATAGTTTACAGAGCTTCTACAGCTGATATTTCAGATTTTAGGAAACGGCTTGTTTGGCCGTCACCCCTATTCCTTCCATGACAAATGTTCTGTGTACCTTTCCAGCTGGGGTTAGGACAGGTGGCATAATCTCTGAGCCTGGGTTGGTGAAGGCACTTTCCTTCAGAGACACTTTCCCCTCCAGCTCCACGTCAAAAAGATGGATCTTCCGATAGGCAGCCACAACAGATCCTGAGACCGGCCTCGCCAAGGAAAAAGGGAGGATCAGGTGGATTAGAAGCAGACAAGAGGCTGGGGAACAAATCTACCTCAACCCCATCCATGCCAGATAATATGGTTTCAAGTCAGGAATCATTTCCAATGTCCAAATGCTGTTATCTTCAGGATTTTTTTCTGCCTTCCTGGAATTTAAGAGCATGATTTTCCAACCTGGGATGAAGCTTGTTCAGTATCTTTCAGCTACCCCAATCTGGGCTGTCTTACCTCCAAACTAATCATGCCCGTTTTCTTCAATGCTTCCTTGCAGGACTTTCCAGTCCCCTGATCACCCTGGTTCCCCTTCTTTGTATTCTGTACCAATTTATTGGAATCCTCCCATAAAGGAATTCTCCATACCTCAGAAAAAAATATTTTCAGAATGAATTTAAAAAAATACCTTACCAGTCAGTTTGATTGGATGACCCTAGATCTAATATTTTGTGAATAAAGGGTGGGGAAGTCTTCACGATTTTTTTTTTTAACTATGTTCCACATGCTTTTGCCTTTTCTGGCACGTTTTTTTCCCCATGGCAACTTTCTACCTCTACAGTACGGTATTCCTTTAGAAATGTAGTTTCAGAAATGTACCTAGGATTCCAAATGTGGTTTAACTATAGATTTACCTAAAGCAATGTTTCTCAACCTTGGCGACTTGAAGATGTGTGGACTTCAACTCCCAGAATTCCCCAGCCTGGGTGAGGAATTCT